TTCCCCAAAATTGTCATAAATTTAGTTTTTACTTGTGTAAACGGCATCATCTAAATCCTTATAGTACGTTCAGACTACAGAGTTATAACAGGTTATAACGCTATCTTGATGGTGGTTTCTGTGTTGCAATTATTTGACAACAATGAATAACACAGTATCATCTGCAAAAAAAAAATAATGCCGCAAAATCGTAAAACACGCCGCATGTCATTAATATGCATAATAAATAAAAGAGCCTCTAATACACTTCCCTGGGGCACTCCAAGGTTATTCCGAACGGGACTGAGTTCTGTCAGACAAATAGCTTTCAAATCATTTATATACAGTATTCGTAATTCCAAAACAGTTGATCGATCTTAACAATAAGGGCCTAGAAATTGTTTCAAAGGCGCGCTTTAGATCCACAAAAACAGCATTTTTACGCTTCAAGTTATTTTTCCACTTCGCTAATACCAAATTCAACGCGGTTTCATAGGAATGACAATGTGAGATCTGTATTTTAAACGAAAATGTATTTAAACTGTCTGTGCCCCCGGGGAAGTGGCAAACTTCTGATTAGGGTCAAAATCTGTCATGCGATATCTCAACTCAAATGAGAATGCTTCGGTCACCTCACATCTTATGAGCTCTTTTGCAGGAATTTCTACTAGTAACGTGGATTAATTCATATTTTGTTATTTATAGTCACTTTAACTTGTCTGGGGATGAGAATTGAACTCGTGACTTCGGCGTGTGAGAGGTATGGATGTTGACAACTACGCCGGGGCCGTCCCCCATATGGACTCACAAACACCCATAATTATACGTCATATCGATCCGTACTCGATGCACAATGCCGCTCCATTATGGAAGCCATGCTCTGTCCGCACCCCCCATTGCACGACTACGCGAATCAAGGGAACAACGAAGACCCAATAACTAGGAAGCACCATGCAACCAACATACCATATGAACAGTTCAACACAACAAGTGCATACCTTTTATCGCCTCCCTTCAGTTCACCCTCTAGCTTTGCCAACATAAAGCGATGTCGATTATTTGTTAGCTACGTAATTGTACATTACCATAGTTTAGTGTGCCGAAGAGATCCTTCTCGCACAGAGAAAAGAAAACTGTGCTGCCGGCTGAGGAGCAAGGAGGGAGGGGTCGCGACCGATAAACCGGTGTCGGCTGGCAACTGGCCAACTGGCAAAGTAAAAAGGAAGCCAAAGAGTGATGCCACATTGATGTCACGTCTTCACCTGTATTTTTGATCTGTAAAATCGGTATATTTTCACAAATTCTGTATAAATTTGCATACTGTTTCAAAAATCTTTATCTGTTTTACGTATTTCAGTATCGAAAATTTAAAAAAAAACTGTTTCATTACAGATAAATCTGTATATGTGGCATCACTTTAACGAGGGCGGAAAGAGCAAATAAGATTTGGAGGCACGGCCACGTTGCTACGGACGATCAGACCGACTCAAAATAAAGTCGCCTCATTTTGTCGAAAGTAGATTTACTCAAAAGTGAGTTGAATTTTCCGGACTTTGCCAGGAAAAAATCTCGAATATGAGAAAAAACCCATGAAGAGTTTACGCAGTCTAGGAGTATACTAATAGACTGAGTGAAACTCATATTTAGAAAAGCCCGGAAAATTCAACTCACTTTTGACGAAATTGAGTAGACTCGACTCAATTATGAGTCAATCTGATCGTCCGTGTGAGGAACCGCAACCGATATGAGGCGTCCTCCAGCGGGCCATAATATTAATCTCTCGAACACATTCTACAACGATTACAAGAATGCTACGTACCTACATTATCAAATTGGCTCTGTACATATGGTCATGGTGCGACCTCGACAGTCAAGTTCAAAGCATTGTTCACCACGCTCTTGCGTAGGCACCACAATCCGCTCGAACCGGTTTTTCGGTCGCTGTCTGTGTGTGTGCCTCAAATACCTACATAGAAATCCGTACGGCTACGACGAACTTCAGCCGAAACTAGGGGCTGATTTGGCAGAAATGCTTCCCCAACAGTACACAAAAAACACGTGTGCTGATGACGTGAGTGCCGTCGCTGCCAATACTGCCGCGAACATTTTTTTGTTGGGTTTGCATTGCGACAGCGGATGACGATGATCTTTTGTTGGAGGAAGATTCTATATTGGATTACTCTGGTATATCAATGCGGTAGATTACGCGAATGCTGAGATTTCAGGTTTTTGGGCACGGTGTCGGCGATTGGCGCCCAATAACTGTGTGATTGATAACAGGGTTGCTGCCATTCATTTGCTATAAACAAATTTTTGGGGTATTCTGAAACCCTTAGATGGTGTTTTGAACTTGTAGGTTACAAAGTTACAAGCAGAAATAGTAAAGTACGGGTTTGACATATAAAATTTGCCTATTTCATATTCAGAGAGTCACAATCAGCGATTTTATGACTGGTGGAAATACGGTCTTCGTGAAGAGCGAATATCCACTGATCATAATTGTTACGCTCTGAAGGCGAACTCAGTCGAGTATTAGTACAATACATTGAAGAAGTCGGCACATTGTAGAAGAAATACGCGTATCTGTCAAGGATAAACAACTAATGTAGTGGAATTAAATGTAAATTACTAATCATTTTCTCTTCCTTTATATAGCTAGTTATCTTCATTCACGAGACTGTCTACATTGCATAAAGGAGGTATCGAGTTAGGGAGAGTGCAATGCTTGCAAAATTGAAGGGACTTTCAATTTCATCATGTTAGGGAAATATCGAGTAAGAGAGTTGACTGTTAGGCTTATTACGGATGTCACTTCACGGTGAAAACTTGTCACTTGTCGTCACGGTGAAGTAATTCCCATTTGATTTGTACGGTAATCACGGCTCTTATTCTGAGTATCACTTGCTTATCACCGTGTAGTGACACCCGTAATAAGGCCCTGTATGTAGAAAAATGTGAAATCTCATCTTTTTTGCATGTCTCGGATGTTGAAGTTGAAACACTTGCCCAGGACAATTTCGAGGATCTTTGATTTCTTAGTTTTCAATCTTCTTAGTCCGTTGTCTTTAAAATCTGCCCATGTCTAAAATATCAATTTTTCCAAGGTTAAAGGAATAGGGAACATACAACAGGATCTTTTGGACAATGTTTTGCAATTGAGTCAGCACCATAGGCAACACAGTACGAGCGGTGATGGGTGGTCCAAAATTGTTCAAAACAACGTAATGTCATTTAAGTATGTCCCCCTAGTAAACTTCGACTTAATTGCATTCAACCTGATTCAATGATTGGTTTATGTTCATGTCATGAACATGATTCAAAACTCCTATCCTATAGAATCGAACCTACAAAGGCTTGTTATTTTTTTAAATGGAATGATTTTGGCCAGTACGATAATCGTAAAAAAGTTATATAATATTTATAATTTTCAGGATTCCGACGGCTTAATCACAAAACTGTTTTTAAACGGTTCTACAATGCTCCAATCTTCTTAGGTGAGTGTAACTATTTTCGGCAACAATTTAATTTGAACTGCGTGTTAGACTAGGTGGACGATGCATCAAAATCTCAATCCTAAGGTGTCCGGAAATCTTACGAAATTATTTACGAAACATCTTGTTTTCATTTCGCACATCTAAAGCTATCTTATCGCATTGCGGTCCATATTATTGCACGTCTATCTACTCGTCGTGAGTGCATGTAACGACAGCAAAACAAAATCTTCCTTGCATTTTCGATAGAGTAACCCCTTCGGCAAATAGACAGCAGCATTTTGTAGTGCGTGTGTTTTTAAACATGGTTAAATGCGTTTGCTCAGCCGGTTGTTCAAGGTAATAGACACCCTACCTACGTACGACATGGTAAGAGTAGTTATGTAATTGAAAATTTGGAGAAGTCCCCTGATTCAGGTTCCAAAAATATTAAATTTTGCTTTTAACTTACTATAAATGTATCTATCTACATCAGCTAAAGCTATATAGGATGAGATGTTATACTACTCTGATTTTGTTATCCCAACCAGTAACAAGAGCAACCTTGAAATCTTTAGTGTCTTTGAGTGCATTTCCACAATTGAGTGCTTGCTAACCCTGTACCATTTTTGCATTACATGGTATGTATTGTGTGGCAAGTATAATCATAAAATATTACCCAGTGGTACATACTGCAAATAGAACGAGCACCCGGATTATGTAATCAGTCAACAGGAACCAAACGTAGAATGATTAGGTATATTTTGATACAATCAGAATGCACATCCAACCATTCAAAGGTAGTTTTTTTCCACCCTTAGATTTGATTAGGTATTATCTAACAGATTCCAATGTCCAACAACATCACACTTGTGAGCACCCCCACAAGGCTATGGTACGTGCCCCTCTTGGAAAAGACCTATCTTACGTCAATTTAATTCACACTAAGTATTGAATACATATCTACGACAAATCTACTAATAGCACCTAATAGTATACCCACATCAACACACACTGGATGCACTTAAACCCATACCAATGGCACAAAATTGAGTAACTTTTCTTCACTCATTAAATTTTCTTGCCTATTTGGTTCCACCGATGGTTTCGTTGCCCATCGTTTTAGTAAGCATTTACCCACACCACATATGCGAGCACAGAGCACCCATCACAGCGCGAAAAAGAGGAACAATTTTAGAGTGTGCTGCGTGCACCATCTTATTACTTATCTAATACTGAGGTATTTAAATAAACGAAACAATAGGACCTCACGTGAAGTCCAATGGGACGAGTGTTATCAGACGAAATCACTTCTCCACCACCCCTTTATAGTTTTACCCTTGAGTTCTGTCCTATATAAAAAAAAAGTAGCGCACACGGGGGGAGGAAAACCCAACCATTACGTAATATCGCTTGATGGAACTTTCTTCGACTTCCCTCGTTCCTTCAGAATGAAACTCGTTTCTGAAAGTTGTATGCCTTCTCCAGACAAGGATTGCACCAATGACATCCGCTTAAAGATCTAGAAATTACTGGTAAATTTCCACTCACCTTGTTGGCACTGGCCAATTTCGACGAGTAGATGCGGCTAAGAGCCATTTTTGTAGAAAGAAATCCGCAACGGAGCTTCTTTTTCACTCACTTAAACTGACTACCAAGCCTAGAAGAGAAGAAAATGGGAAATTTGAAGGAAAATCTCGTCCTTAATCTGTCATCCAGCAGCGGGCAAACAGCTCAGTTCCAGTCCAAAGCACACGCGTTCACTTCTCTCATCAGCGGTCAAAGGAAACGAAAATCTCGCAATCACTGCTATATTTTCCGACGGATGCAGATTACAGATCAAATCCACCAAAATAAAATCGGGAAAAATCATTCAGATGAGGAGATTTTCCTTTCAGTTCACACACACGCACCGTGGTCTTATTCCTATTTTCCGCCACGGAGAACACACCACACTCTGCTTCTTCTCTAGAGCTAGTAGAGGGAGTACTCAAATTTCCCACACACCACACGAGACGACGACAATAATCAAGGAAGAGGAGTTCTACCTAACTGTTCTTCGCTGCTCGCTGCCACCAAACCAACTGACCAAACGAGGAGAGAAAACCGCTCACTAAAACGTCCCGCGCTGGCGGCGTGGCTCGGGGTCGTCCACCGTTGCCGACACAACTGACGTTCCCGACTGAAATCACTCCGTGTAGGCAAATTTGATTTTTCAATACAATTTGCATAGAAATTCAACTAAATTGATGTTATCTGTTATTAAATCAAACAAGAATGACGTAATTAACGGATCGCCCTTACACGATGGGCAGTATTTGTGTGCATTATCGCGGTGTCGTTCACAAACACAGGACCAAATTTGCGATTTTTTAACCGGCGTTTGCCACTACCACGTTACGGTACACTCGCGAAGTGTGACGGTTCGAGAAGCTTTGTTTATCGCGCGATTCTCTGCTGAGAAAGAAGAGAGAAACTTTAAGAGCCTTTTTGTGAGCGAGTTGAGAATGACAGAATTACGTCATCAACACGCGCTACGAAAGCTCTGACGCAGTGGCACAGATATGAAATGGTACAGACCAAGTAGGTACAGACTTATTTTTAGGAGCATATTAAGATATAAATTTATTTGAAAGTTGTGTCTATATTTATTATTTACAGGTTAATCAAATATTCAAACACATAAAAGCTGTGTTTACTGACGCAGCTCGAAGTTGCCTGAATTTTCTGAAAACCTACCTCGAGGGACTATACTAATATACGAGCTATAGTCACTATATTTATAGATGGCGGATGGTGGATACAATCATTCATAGACCAGAAAGAAACGTGCTCAACTTTTTGGCTCAGCTCTGGTACTCTCTTCGGTCCCAAGGACCTTCTGGTCCTAGAGTTACCTCTATGGCTGTTCTGTAGGTACTTTTGTTTATTTCGGACTTCTTGAAAATTGAAAGAATTATGTTCTAATCAAAACCATGATTTATGTATGGAAATTCTAATGAACTAATAACATGAATGACAACATTCGAATAACAAAAGACATAATAAAAAACATACTTTAAATGGCCATTGACTTGCTATCTTTACGTTTTCACGAGGAGTATCAAAACGACTAATGCGCAGACGGGAAATAATATACTTATTGATAATTTTTGTACGGATAGAATGGCACTCTGGCAGATACAGCGCAGTTATGTTTGTCATAAGCCCATGTAGTTTATATGCAAATCCACATTGATAACTTTAAGTTGATCGATATTCTTTTTAAACGTTTCTTCCAGTTCTGTAAAAAAGTTAAAAGTGTCGACATTGACACATCTAAGTTTAGTAAAAAAAAAGGCAACATCGTCTATGGGAATTTCGGTCGCAATGCAACTATTTACGCAATTCATGCAAACCCGAAACCGTCGTGCAATCTGACGCATCACCAAGCCAGACAAATAATAAATTACATTCTGCTCAGACCACTCGGATGTAACGCGTAAATTACGTTCTGCTGATTCGGATGTAACGCGAGCTGACGCTTTTAGTTTGAATTTTGTATGGGGAATTTGGATAAAATAAATGAAAAAATGACCCTCCTACACTCTACCGAGCATAAAAAAGTTTCCTTATTCTCGATTTGATTCAGATTTTCAAAAACTTGTACTTCAGTTAATGAGTAACAACTTTGATGAAGATTGCATCATGAATCCAGCCAGTTTTATTGAGATATTCACTTTTGAATGTGTATGAGCATTTTGTATATGAAAATTTCAACCAAATCTCCTACATGAACATTAAACCAAAGCGCCAGCCCGTGTAGCGACAAAAAGAGCTGAGACATTCAGAGAGTGGTTATCGCACCAAAAGACACGAGCCTAGATCTAGGCGGGTAATATCACAGGTGGGCAGGAGCTCACGGTCTCCCAGTGTTGGTGAGTTCTTTGCCGTTAATGTTCACGAAAAGTTCACTATTTTGTAATTGTAATTGTAATTGTAATTGTTCAGTGCATAGGCTGTGCCTTCCGCTAAGAAGGCTTATCTAGGGACCAACCCCCTAGTCTATACACCTACTGTCCTTCCCGTTGCACTCGTCAGCTCGTGCGATACTCTAGACACACATGGGTGGTCGTATCCGGGTTCTCCCCTGGGTAGGCTCGTGGCCGTCCAGGTTCTGGTACATTAACTTATATATAAAGGGTGATACGGTCAAAATTTGGTCAAGGGAAAACGCGTGTAAATCGGTGAAATCGTTTATTTAAAAAATCAAATTAAATTTCTTTTTCAAGTTCAATTAGTATAAAAATCAGGAAAAATATTCAGTTAGGCTTCCGCTTTTCCAAATCCGAATTGCCGGGCCTTACGCTTGACCCCTGCCATCAGATTTTGTACAGCCACCTTGTCCACCTTCTTCGCCGCAGAAAGCCAGTTTGCCTTGAACTGCTGCTCGCCCTTAGCAGTTTTTTTAGTCTTCTTTAGGTTCCGCTTGACAATAGCCCAGTATTTCTCAATTGGGCGGAGCTCTGGCGTGTTGGGAGGGTTCTTGTCCTTGGGAACCACCTGCACGTTGTTGGCGGCATACCACCTCATGGCCTTTTTACCGTAATGGCAAGATGCCAAATCCGGCCAAAACAGTACGGAACAACCGTGTTTCTTCAGGAAAGGCAGCAGACGTTTATTCAAACACTCTTTCACGTAAATTTCTTGGTTGACAGTCCCGGAAGCTATGAAAATGCTGCTTTTCAAGCCACAGGTACAGATGGCTTGCCAAACCAGATATTTCTTTGCGAACTTTGACAGTTTCATGTGCTTGAAAACATCTGCTACCTTTCCCCTTCCTTTTGCCGTATAAAACTCCTGTCCCGGAAGCTGCTTGTAGTCGGCTTTGACGTAGGTTTCGTCGTCCATTACCACGCAGTCAAACTTCGTCAGCATCGTCGTGTACAGCCTCCGGGATCGCGCTTTGGCCGTCGTATTTTGTTTATCATCGCGATTTGGAGTCACTACCTTCTTGTAAGTCGATAGTCCGGCTCGTTTTTTGGCTCGATGCACGGTTGTAGACGATACACCCAGCTTATTTGCGGCATCTCGGAGAGAGAGGTTAGGGTTTCGCTTGAAACTACCGGCAACTCTCTTTGTCGTCTCAGCGGCTTCCGGTTTTCGATTTCCCCCCGATCCAGACTTCCTGGCTGTCGACAAACGTTCCCCAAACACTTTAATTACATTTGTAACGGTTGATTTGGCAACTTTTAGCGATTTTGCCAACTTTGCGTGCGAGTAGCTCGGATTTTCGCGATGCGCGAGCAAAATTTTGATACGCTGCTCTTCTTGCTTGTACGGCATTTTGACAACTGAAGAGTGAATTCCAAAATCAAAATAGGAGCAACATTCTACACACACACACCTTCAAAATGAGGGGTGTTCAGGTTTTTTAAATGCAAAATTGAAAGAAATACGTCAAGTTGACCAAATTTTGACCGTATCACCCTTTATGTGAGCAGTGGAACAGGTCTGATACTATCGTGGCCTCCATGTCACGAAGGCGATCTCGATTATGTTTTGTCAACGTTGTCACTTTTAGACCATACAGGACGATAGGGGCGATTACCGAGTGATATATGCGGACAGATGTTTTCCACCATACCCTGAACTTCTTAACGAAGTCCAACACGCTGCGATATACTCTGAAAGCTTTTGAAATTCTTTCAGCTACTGCCTCCCTACGATTCAGAGAGCTTGTGAGATATATCCCTAGGTATCTCATCTTCGTTACCACCCGTATGTTGTAACGCCCAAAAGTGCCTTGGTGTGAGGGGTCCCGAGCAACTGTTATTGATGGATCACGTATTAGAACTTCGGTTTTGGATACATTGAGTTCCAAACCGAACGCCTCTAAGGCAGGAGTGAGGATTGTTATAAGTCTTTCGATCTGTGATGGATGCGTTAACAATACAATTATATCATCGGCATATACCCGCAGACAGGGTAGTCGAATGCTGCTGGATTGTTCCAACAATAACTCCGGCATTTCGCGTTGTAGTTGGATGAGAGCTTGATCCAAAAGGTATACAAACAACTTTGGCGATAGTGGACATCCTTGCTTGATTCCGCGCACCTTGGGATATTCCTCCGTTCTTTGACCAAACCATTGAAGTGAGGTGCGTTCCGTTAAGCAACACTATACGATTCGATTTATTAGGTACACCGGTACTCCTAGCGCACGAAGTACTTCTGGCACTCGGTTCAGGTCTATGCGGTCGAAGGCTTGACAGAGATCCAGCGATAGAACATATGTCACTTTACCGTTTCTCCATCGCTCATCTAGTATCTGTCTTACTATGAAAACTTGATCTTCAGCAGAGCGGTTTCGGTGGTATGCAAACTGATAGTTGGGAACATCGCCTAAAAAGAGTGCCAGCTGCTCTAACAAAAACCGTGCGTACATTTTGTACACTGCCTGGCAAAGTGTTATGCGACGATATTCTTCCGGGCCTTTGGGCTTAGGTGTCTTCGGAATCGGTACTTGGAGGGTTTCAATTATACCGCGCGGAATTTCATTTTTGTTCCACATTATTGCGAGCAATCGATGCATGTGCTGATGTAAGGACTCCGGGCCATATCTGATCAGTTCCGGTTGTACTCCATCTGTTCCCGCTGCTGTGTTAATTTTCAGTTGCGCGGAAATCCTTTCCACATCACTTAGCGTAGGGCCTGATTCTGATGGGGGAGGAATTTCTTCGGGAATTAACGACACATCATTTGAACTGACACTTTGTTGTAGCATAGACTCTTATTCCCTTATAGCTATGTACCTGTTTGTTTTTTGATTCTGGCGGCGACGGCGGTGTTGTTTCAGATACCTATATGTTAGTCGCACCCGTTCTAGTGGTGGACGCGTACTTATATTTTCAAAAAACATTTCTATTTTGTTATTCAGGTGTTTTTGGTAGGCCTTTTCCTTATCCTTCTTTGCTGTCTTCACGGCTCTTTTTAAGTTCGCATTTTCTGGGTCTTGTAGCGAAAGTTTTCGAAGGTGTTCCATACGTTTGCCTGCACGGGATCGATTAGGCGTCTTGGGAGAGCGTTGAGTTTGAAGTGAAGTAGTGGCCGCGTTCCTCATGTTATCTACCAGCCAGGATAGTATGGTAGTTAGGTCTTCTGTGAT